ATGAAAATGTTAATAAATAAAAATAATATAAATTTAAGGCCCATATAAAATATAAAGGAATCGATTTATTTACTTTTTACTAATATATATATATATATATATATATAATACAATTTAAAACATACTAGTACATAAATGAATATGAAAAAAATCAATATTTTTTTAATGATATGAGGTGATTAAATTAGTATATGGTTAGAGTCTTTTTTAACTATTTACAATGTATACAATCCTATAAATTTAATTGTCTAAATTTGAATCCCTAAAAAGATAATATTTTATTTTATTACCGAAATCAATCAATAAATTAAAAAAAGGATAACAATTTTCAACATAAAAAAAAAAAACAATAAGCATTGTATTTCGAAAGTAGAAGCAAGATGGAGATGGGGTTTCATATTGAGGCCAGTTCTTTTGTCGTATAAAGGGTACGAAATGGGGAATCTCATCTGAGAGTGTATAAAAATCCAGAACGAAATGTTGCCAGCCACAGTGTTATTTAAAGAAAGGGAAGAAAATGAAATGTGTAGGCCAATAAGGCGACCGAATGTAATTAACAATTCATTATTAAATCATCCACCTCCCTCTTCCTCCGGTGTTTATAACCCCCTTTTTGCTTTGTGCTGTTTGGCTCAAACCCCCTAACCAAAACCACTCCAATCACCCACTAAAAATGACAGGCTCTGGTGCCCCTTGCGGTGCTTGCAAGTTCTTGAGAAGAAAATGTGCTAGGGGATGTGTTTTCGCACCCTATTTCTGCCATGAACAAGGTGCAGCCCATTTTGCAGCTATCCACAAGGTCTTTGGTGCAAGCAATGTCTCGAAGCTTCTTGCTCACCTTCCTGTCAGTGATCGCTGTGAAGCCGCCGTCTCGATTTCGTATGAAGCTCAAGCTAGACTTCAAGACCCCATTTATGGCTGTGTTTCTCATATCTTTGCTCTCCAACAGCAGGTTCTTTTTCGATGCGAAATTTAATGATCTGAAACCCTAGTTTGAGTTTTAAAATATGTATCTAAATCCATGCTTTCTTGTGTTCCAAATTTCTACAGGTTGTAAATCTGCAGGCACAGCTTGCTTCTCTTAGGGAAAAAGCGGCTGAAGGAATTGTTAATGGAGGCTCTGTTACTTCAAACCCTAATGACAAATACCATGGAAAGGTTCCTTCTCAGCTCCAAGATGTTCATCTTCAAACCTGGTTTCACTCAGAAAATTCAAGCATGGCACCCGCTTTTAACCCGACGAACTCATACTGTGAGAATAATGGGTTTTTGGATCCAAACCCTTTAGCAAATTACGAGAACTCGGTCTCTTCATCAGGAGAAGATCATGTCTCGTACACTACTTTCGGACAGGCTTCTCATTCTATGTCTTCATTCGACATGCAAACAAACAACAGACAATGGGGTTTTCAGGAAGACGATGAATTTCAACCAATGGCCTTTGGATATGCTCCTCAACAATATTCATGCTGAGGGGACCAAGAGATTTTAATATAAGATCGGTGAAGGCACCATCGGCCTTCCGGTTTTGAATTGAAATGCTGCATACTCTGAAACATATATATATGCACTTCTGTTGCTATAAATAAGAAGCTAGGAACCCTAAAGGATTAATGTTCATTTTCGTACAATGATGAAACCCTAAAATCTACCCTACTATTGCTTTACTCTGTGTGTGTGACAGAACTGGAGATAGAAATTGATCTGGTTTTGTTTCAGCTAATCATTTGCTTCGTCTATGGACGACCTTGGCCTTCAAGGACATCTAGTTTTTGACCTAGTAATTAAACTATAGTTACCTACATTTCACTTTCCCTTTATGTTATTAGCTGCTTCTATAATTTTGACAGATGTTCCCCGTAAAGTCTTTGATCTAATTCATAAATCCTACTCGGTTAAAAGTTCATGATTTAGCTGCGTAGGCCAATTATTGACTCTGTTTGAATGCATGACATTGGAATATACACGATTATGATCCAAGTGAAACCCAGATTGTTTCTTTTTTTGGTAACAGATTAGTTTGGTTTTTAATTCTCCCTGATTTCCCTGTTGTTTCCAATGTTTTGGTGATTATTAGGAAACACGGTTCACAATCTGAACACGAATAGAAAAGAAATGAATGCTGAAACTGAATCACCTTAAAACCTGCTTAGTCAATGCAGCTTGCTTTTGAATTATTACCACTAGTAATCTAACTTCATTGCACGTGATGTTTGATCACTATGTCTTAATAGGATATGCAATATTAATATTCTTTGTGCATGCGTAATGTTCAGTCCCGAGCCGATTTATTTGATTTCTCGTGTCATCGAGAAAAAGATGGTAAAATACTGAGAACCCCTAAGGTGATAGATTAATATTTTTTATGCGATGGTGCACTCTAAAGTTACAATTTCTGAATGTTACATTAATACCTATGACATATGAGTCTTTATTAATATTTTTTTAGAGAGAATACGAGAAATTAATAATTTATTTGCTATCATATTTTGTAATGGAACATAAAACCGCCTATTTTTTTCCTTTAAATTACAAAATAAATTGAGTGAATGAATTAATGGAATCTGAGTAAAATAATTTAGGAAATGAATCTCGGTCCCAATGTGTTCCTTCCTTTGCTAGGCCCAACTGAAATGATAATCGATAAATATAAATACGGCCCAGTTAATGTGCTCTCTATAAACCCACTGCACCGACATGCTTACATCGTCTGTTTATACATTCCTTTCCGAGTTAATTGCACCACTAGTCCTCGAAGCATGATTACAATTTATATGGGCTCTTAGACTTTTGAATGTTCTAATTTAATCTCTAAACTATGACTATCGTTTTAAATTAGTCCTCAAACTTTGAGCATTTCAATTTCATCCCCAAACTACGACCTTCATTATAAATTGGCCCTCAAACTTTTTTAACATTCCAATTTCTTCCCAAACTATATGTATATACTAAGCACATCCCTTGTTAATAAAATGGGCAGGCCAAGTTATATTATTATATGTTTGGAAAAATAAAATAAAATTTAGGTTAAACTATGATTGAAACTAATTATATATTTGGATGAATTTGGAAAATCCAAAAGTTTGGGGATCAATTTAGAGTGAGAGTTATAGTTTAGGGTTGGACTTGAAATGGCCAAAAGTTTAAGGACTGATTTAGAATGAGAGTAATAATTTAGGGATGAAATTAAAATATTCAAAAATTTAAGGATCAATTTAAAATGAGAGTATTGTTTGGGGACATATGATGCAATTAAGTAATATTTTTCCTTTATATTTAATTAATTTCAAGCTATAAAATAATTAATGATAATTCCTTTTCATTTTTCTTCATTTTATGTCCAAGCATTAGAATCGCAAAAGAAGTTTCTGTGAAAGTTTAATAAATTTTAAATTTAATATTGATAGGAGAGGGGAATGAAAATCTCTAGAATAAGGAACAGAAGTGTTCTTAACGAATCTAGAATTTATGACCTAAAGAAATATGAGAGAACAAAAATAAACTACATTGAACTACCGAGACAACCCCTGATTTTCAAACCTACTTGCTCTCTTTTGAAAACATACTCAATGATATCATAATTAAACATAAATAACTATTATAAAACCATTTTAGAGAACGGAGCCCCATGACAGAAGTTTAAATCAAAATATTACAACATCCTGTTTAGCCGAAAGGCGGATATTCCTTGCTCGTTATCAGAGTTAACCTGTGACAGCCTCAATGCTCTTATGGCAGGGCAACTTTGACACCCAACCAAATATGCTTGCTGATAAAAATTAAACTGTGTACCTTTTCATTAAATTTTATAAATATATACAAGAGTAGTTATTGTGATTTGTAATCTCATTACATTAGCGTTACACTCTCCAATTCACATTTCACAATTAACAAAAGTTAGAAGATTTGTATAAATAACTAATCATAATTAATAGTAATTTATTTTTGAATAATAAAAAAAAATTATCAATAAATTTTTTTATAATTACAAAACGGATATAAACTTTAATAAAATTATTTTACCATAGCCAAACACACGTAGAGATGCATAAATAATCTTAATATTAAAAAATGAAAGCTGGTTATAAGGACAAAACCGTCATTCTGATGTGATCTATCACTGGATCCCACAATAAACGGTTGGGATTACGCAAACGTGGGTTACGAAATCAATAGTCAAAAGTTGCGTTAAAAAAATTCAAAGATGGAGTCCAACAAACTCCATTCTACATCTTTATATTGCCATTTCCCTTCTCTCTTTTTAATGCAATAAAAAACAATTTATATTTTTTTAAATTATTATAACAATAATAACGCCAACTAAATTAATATTCATTTAATAAAAATTATCAAATTTCTTATATATATATATATAATTAGCTGAGAATGATGGTGTCATGGCTTAAACATCAAGCTAAAAATGATTCTAATTGATGAATTAGGTCATTAATACTAGTGTGATTATGTTTCTATATGCATGCTTTATGAGACAGGCAACACTTTCAAAAGGAGGAATATGGTGATATAATAAAAAATAAATTAAGATACATTTGCTTAATTAAAAATAGCTAAGAGAGGGTTCTTAGCTCATAATGTAGGGTTTTGCATTCAATCAAGGGGACAGTTTGTCTATAAATATGAATACAAGGCAATGGCTTTTTGGTATTATATACATTAAAGATTATAAAGAACACTTAAGTTAGGTGAACTTACTAATTAAAACATAAACCCTAGGTGGAGTGGGTCCCTAGGAAACTTCCACACCCTAATAATCTTTTTTTAGTTTTTGAATTAAAATTTTGTATAATTATATTATTAGTCTTTTTTATTGTATAAAAAATTATTATTTTTAAAATTTTAATTTTAATCATTTATTTACATTTATCGATATATCAAAATAAAGATTAGAAAGGAGGACAAGAATGAACCACCCCCAGTATTTTATTATACCAACACTACGACGTGAAGCAGATTTACAATTTGTAATTGAAAATGTGTGATTGAACAAAGAGGCAAACGCCAATATTGCATGGCTGACCAGAAAGTTTAGTATTAAGTTTTCTCGGAAACAGTCTCCGTATATACAAATACAAACATCAGCATCAGGAGAGAAGGAGAATCGTACTCCATAAAGAAGAAGGATGATTTAGTTTGAGTCCCTCATCATTCTAAGGGCAAGTGCTTGAAGCTCACCCAGCTCATTATTGGAGGGTCTCCTCTTAGGGTAACCGTGGACATAAAAATGATCATCTCTGCTTTGTAAGCTCATGTTGTCGCATCTGTCGAGTGAGCTTTGTGGAGAAATGGGGTTCACGAAGGTTGGAACGGAAGGAACAGTCCCACAAACATTGCCTTGCCACAGATTCTCTATGTTATGTGAATTCATAGCAGTTTGAGCCAGCTGAGCTTTCGCTTGCATTAATTGAGCTTGGAGGTACGCCACCTATAAACAAGATTTAGAAATGAGTTATTAAAGCTAATCATAAACAAGAAAATGCAAAAGGAAATGTGATTACCTGCTGCTGCAAGGCGAAAATATAAGCAACGCAACCATAAACAGGATCTCGAATCCTTGCTTGAGCCTCGTAAGCAATGGTGACGACCGCCTTGCAACGATCATGTGCCGGGATATGTAACAACAATTTGGAGGCATTGCTAGCACCAAAGACCTTATGGATGGCGGCAAACCTTGAGGGGCCTTGTTCCGAGCAGAAATAAGGCGCAAATACACAGTCGGAAGCGCATTTTCGTCTCAGAAACTTGCATGCACCACAAGGGGAGCCAGTGCCAGATGATGCCATGTTACAAACTAAAAGAAAGAGAAAGAAAATCTTAAAAATGCTGTAAGCACACGAGTACACTAGGAAATGGTGCTATAAAAGATGGGATTTATGGAGGAGGAGATGGTTGTCTGGCTAGGTGAAAGTGGGGCTGTTAAGGGGCATAAACAGTGATGAATGGGGGACATTGGAGCCCTTTTGTAGGGTTCTAAAACAACATTTAATAATGATCTATGGGGATTGTTCATATAATGTTAGTATATATGATTTGGAGTTGGGTGTACATCATCTGAATGTTTGTTTAATACATCTGAAGGTTGATTTTTATGGTAGAAAGTTTTAACCTTTTCTTTTTGATTTGTTATATACTTTCCGCCGATCGCCGCACGTTTGAACTGTTGCCGTTTGTCGCTTTGTGCTCTTATTGCTATCTGCCGGTAAAACGTACCGACAACCACAAGTGAATTACATTTGTTTGTATTGCAGTTGGAGAAATTTTGTATATTATTTGTTTGAGGACAAACGTTGTTGTATTTGGTATGTTTCAAAATCGAAGCTAATCATATTGAATCAGCAATATTAAGAGATTAAAATGTAAAAAAAATGTCATGATTCATTTTTGTGGAAAGAGTAAACCCAAACGTCTAAGAATGCAAACAGATGGAGTCAAAGCTAGAGCCCTGTGCTGCAAACTGAAACCGATTTTTATTGGAAAGCACAAGCTTTTAAGAATATTAAACAATTAAAACGTGCACTTGCCTACTATTGCCTGGGAGACGAATTATAAACCATAATGTTGCAGGGCATTAGCGTGGACAGCATTATTTTGGCAAATTTATTTTCGTCTTCTGTTCGGTAATTATGGAACTTACAGAAGAATATCCATGACCAGAGCCATCAAAATCTCATGACCTTTTGTCAATCCGACCAATATTTTTCTTATCACATCCAATAATAATAATCATTGCAAAAAAGGGCCAAAGGACTTACTTCATACGAAGCTCATAATCTTGAGTATTAGTTGGTAAAATTTTAGCTTCTCAAAAGTATTTTGCACCACAAATGTCATGTAGAGAGGATGAAATCTTAGAATACCCCATTACCATTTAATCCCACCCTTTTAGAAGATTTCATCTTAGAAGAAATGGATTAAAGTATCAACTGTGTTTCCATTACTTACAAAAGGCTTAGACATGCATCACAAGCTCGGGTTAAAGATCTCAAAGCTATCCCCAAAACTAGATCTTATCAACAGTCAAGCTAGCTTTAGAAAATCCAAAAGTAGACAAACTTCAGTTTTGGTTTCAATATTTTACACATCCGTCCTTCACCAAAGTAAGAATATAAACATCCGTCACCTTCCTTCACCTCTTGTGATGAAACCTCACTTTCAACAAGATCTGCATCTTAACCTGTCCAAATTAACGTCGCAGATGATATGTGCAAATCACACATCAAACGGAGTTCAATAACAGTAGCAACGACATTATCAGCAGCAGCAGCAGCAACAGTGACAGGCTATATTACAAGGACTTTACTTCCTAAACTAAAGTGTGTCTGACGCATATGAGAAGGGGCTAGAGAGACAATTTGGTAGATAGAATAATGCTAAGATGGATATGTGTAAAGCACACTACAATAGATTATAGTACCAAAGTTCTAACTCATTTTCATGCATTAAACAGCATTCCTATTTATCTACATGGGATGAAAAGATCTTTTAACTTACTTGAGCAGTGTTATAAACAATGTACTCATTATACATCAGCTCAGAGTCCTTCACATTGGATGAAACTGGTTTGCCACAAGGTATGATAACATCATCCTTCCACTTTACAAAGTCAGACTTCTTAGGTACTTTCTTTCCAAGCCCCTTTGTAGAGTGCTTTCCTTTTGGCAGTTTCTCTATATACTGAATAAGAATGAAGAAAAGCAAAGAGAAATAATTAATAAATGTCAAGTTCTAATCTAGGCATTGGCATATAGGGTGCACTAACCTTGGCCTTTGTTAGTTCATAGACCTCCCCTAAAGCAACTTCACTGAGAAGCATGATGTTATGGTTTGAGAGAAAATAAGGATTTAGGAGAAGAGATCAGACGAGAGAGAGAGATGATAGAGAAGAAAAGTCATCATTCATTTGCATAAGGAAATTTTTACACCAGATTCTGTTAATTATTTAGTTACAATTGCCAATCATTAATTGCCAGCTGTCCCAGCTATGTAACTAACTGATTCTTCTCTTTCTTCTCTTTCACAGGTACTGGGCCTTCTGTCTTGGGCTTCTCCTTCAGTCCATCCTCTTGCTCGGCCTGCTCTGTAAGTACCCCGTGCCTCTCACCTGATTGAATTCCCAATTTGTTTCTTCAATCCCTAACCCTCGACCTTCATTTCCCAAATGTTCTTCGATATTTTCTCGCCGTTCCTCTTCTTCTTCTCCAATCCTGACAATACCCACCCCTCGAGACGAGCCTTGTCCCCAAGGATCGAACGCCGGAAACTGTCCTTTCAGAGTCGAGTAATCTTCCCAAGTATCATTTTCTGCAGCAAGATTCTCCCAGCGAACCATAAGTTGAGTAACAAGTTTACTGTTTCTGTTTATAATTCTTTTGGCCATAATTTTCAATGGTTTAATCTGTATTTCTCCTTCTTCATCTACTGCAGGAGGATCAGTAGCAACAATGGAGGAATCGCCTATGAACTTCTTCAGTAAACTGACATGGAAAACCGGATGCAACCTAGAAGAATTAGGTAAGTCCAAGCGATATGCGACTGCTCCTATTCTTTCCAGAATACGATAAGGTCCAAAAAATTTTGCTGCTAACTTCAAGTTTCTTCGCAGGGCAATCGATGTCTGTCTGTAGGGCTGCAATTTCAGGTAAACTAAATCCCCAATCTGAAAGGTTCTGTCAGTTCGATTCTTATCTTCTTGTTGCTTCATTCTATTACATGCTATCTGCAACTGATTTTTTTAGCAACTGTCTGGTAGCCTCTCTACTGCTCATTAGTTCTGATATAGTCTGTACTGTAGACTCAATAGGCCAAACCATAATAGGTGGTTTATACCCATATAACGCCTGAAAAGGTGTTATCTTTAGAGCAGTATGATAAGTGGTGTTGTACCACCACTCTGCATGTGGTAGCCACTTAGCCCATTGCTTAGGTTGATAGAAGCAAAGGCCCCTCAAATACTGTTCTAAGCATTGATTGACTCTCTCCGTTTGTCCATCTGTTTCTGGATGGTAAGCAGTACTGAAAAATGTCTTTGTGCCCAACAGTTTCATTAACTCCCTCCAAAACACACTTGTGAATGTCTTATCTCTGTCAGAAATGGCCATCTTAGGCTGGCCATGTAACTTATACACATTATCTAGGTGTATCTTAGCCACCTCTGTTGCAGAATAAGGATAAGCCAAAGACAAAAAATGGCTGTACTTTGTAAACTTATCCACAATCACCAAAATACAATTTTTCTTAAATGAAGTAGGCAGACCTTCAATGAAATCCATAGTGATTATCTCCCAAGCCTGATTAGGAACAGGAAGGGGCTGTAGCAAACCAGGCTTTGCTACATGTTCAACCTTAATCTGCTGGCAAATTTCACAACTTCTCACATAAGTAACAACCATAGCTTTAAGATTTGGCCAGTAAAAATGTGACCGAATCCTATAATATGTAGCTTTGAGCTCCTGAATGGCCTCCTTGAGGAGAGTCATGTAAGGTCTTAATAATCTTCAACCTAAGACTGCCATGAACCCCAATATAAACTCTACCACTGTATCTAAGGATAGCTTTAGAATATTTCCATTTACTGTCAACTGTAGGATTAATAGTAAGAGCTGAAATCCAATATTGAGCTAAAGTATCCTCTTGATAACTTTCTTCCACCTCTTGAACCCAAGCAGGTATTAAAACAGTAGCTTCCAAAGCAAAGTAGTGAGCCTGATCCTCCTATCTTCTAGATAAGGCATCAGCAACAACATTCAACTTCCCTTTTCTATACTGTATGGTATAGTCCAACCCCAGAAGCTTTGTCAAACCTCTCTTCTGAATAGTGGTAGTCAGTTTCTGTTCTAAAAGAAACTTTAGAGGCTCATGATCAGTCTTAATAATAAAAGGTTTACTCTCCAAATAATGTCTCCATTTTGAAACAGCCAAGAGAATAGCAAGGTATTCTCTTTCATATATAGATAATGCTGAATTTTTTGGACTTAGAGCTTGACTCAAATAAGCAATAGGTCTTCCTTCTTGTGAAAGAACAACCCCTATACCTCCAGAACTAGCATCTGTTTCTAGATAAAATGTTTTAGAAAAATCTGGTAAGGCCAAAACTGGAGCAGAACACATAGCCAATTTAAGATCCTCAAAAGCTTTATAAGCAACATCACTCCACTGAAATCCATCCTTTTTCAACAATTGTGTTAAAGGCCTACTAATAATGCCATAATTTCTGATAAATCTTCTGTAATATCCAGTTAGGCCTAGAAATCCTCTTAAAGATTTAAGAGTTTTAGGCTTAGGCCAATTATGCATAGCCTCCACCTTGCTAGGGTCAGTAGATACCCCTGCAGCAGAAATAATATGACCAAGATACTCCACCTGATTTTGTCCAAAGAAACATTTGGACCATTTTGCAAATAATTGATTCACCTTTAACACCTCTAAAACCAGCTGTAAGTGTTCAATGTGATCCTGCATACTGCTACTGTATACCAATATATCATCAAAGAAAACTAAAACAAATTTTCTGAGGAAAGAATTGAATAATTCATTCATAAGTGCATGAAATGTAGCAGGAGCATTAGTAAGACCAAAAGGCATTACCTTGAACTCATAATGACTTTGATGAGTTCTAAAGGCTGTCTTGTAAATATCTTCAGGTTTAATTCTGATCTGCCAATAACCTGACCTCAAATCAATTTTTGAAAAGTATACTGCCCCATGTAACTCATCCAACAAATCTTCCACTATAGGAATAGGAAATTTGTCTTAGATGGTCATACTATTTAATTCTCTGTAATCCACACAAAATCTCCAAGTTCCATCATTCTTTTTAA